GGGTTTAGAGGGCTTGTAGGGTTTGGGACTTGGGACTGCAGGGTTTGGATTTTATTCGCTTCGGGCTTTGGGGATTTAGGGTTTAGGCTATCGGGTTCAGGCTTGGGGCTTTAGGCTTTCGGGTTCTGGGGATTGGGCTTTAGGTTTGGGGTTTAAGGCTCTAGGCTCCATGGTCAAAGCATCTGCGACCGGGGTGCCATTGAGCGCCCAGTAAGCGTAGTCCAGGTCATGCTCTTGCCTGCAGCTTGCACGGTTTAGGATTTAGGGTTGAGGGTGCAGATGTTGCCTCCAACTCACAAGTTCGCGACCCTGCATCCTGAAGCCAAGGGGCATGTACCTCAGGATGTGGCTGAGCCAGAGCACTTCTCCGACCTCTCAGGATCTAACGGCTTCTGCAGATAGATCATTTGGAATCAATGGCCTCCGCAGACCAGCCGTCCGAGATCCAGTAGCCGTTTGTTCCAAACTCTCCAAGCCACACTGGCGCCTCCTTGGTGGCGCTTACTTGCTGCAAGCCCTATGCTCGAAATAGCTCGAACGGATATCAAGTCTGAGCAGACCACGCCATTCAACAGGAAGCCTTGATAGACAGGATCACAGGGTAATTAGGGTTTAGGGGAAGGAGCAGACACGAGCGATGCGAAGTCAAGCAGCCCCAGCGATTGTCCAGCTTGCTACGAAAGGCGGAGTAAGAGACGGTCCTCGGAAGTTTCACAGAAGACTCTAAACCCTGAGCCCACGTCGGGGTTTTTGGTTTTCCTTGTTTCGGGCTTCGTTCACTGTTGCCTGAGTGATGAGGGTTCATTTCTGAATGTAGAGAGCAGTAAGGATTCGGGCTTCCGCCCCACTCTAAACCCTAAACCTTGAACGCAGATACCGAAACCTTTGCAATCCTAAGCCCGAGCCTCGTGTCCCATCTTAGTCTGATGCTCTCCGGCCGGGAAGCCAAGAGCTCATCAAGAAAGCGCCGGCGCTGAGAGCAAGCAGAATCTTGGTGGAGGGGCGCCCTGCCAAACTCATGTTTTGGCTTATGATTTGGGAATTTTGGCTCAGGAGCTTAAGGTTTAGGGTTTAGGGTTCTGGGCTTTAGGGTTCAAGGCTTAGGATTTGGAGCATAGGGTTTATCTCTGATAGAACTTGACTATCCCAGATCTACACTGCATGAATGCTGCAAAGTACAGCTCATTCCTGCATCGCTGAGTATAGGAGTGCACGCAAAGTGCGAAGGCACAAACGGAGGCATGCAAACATGCACGCGCACATGTTTATTTACATGAATGTATACATATATGCATGCATGATGGGTACATCGACATGTCAATTCTGTGCAGTTGAACAATATGTAAATGCCTGCATATCTGTCTACTCGCTTATGTACATGCATGCATGCATCGCCAATGTACCATGTACGTGCCACATAGGTGTAGAGGCAGGTACATTTGCATGAGTTTGTCAGTCTGCACATGTAACTGCAACTGCAATCTTTGTAAGAGCAACACATGGAAACCCTGAACCTGCAAAACAACTGCCACGAGCAACGACGATGCCACGATTCCTCGATTGCTAGTGTTTGTACTTATCACCACAAATGCTAGCACGTGCGCACGGAAGTGCGGAACCCCAACTTATACCCTACACCATCACCCATGAACCCCAAGCCCAAAATGACCCTAACTCCGTAGTAAACCCTGGGCCAAGCACATGTGTTCCGAAAACTTCCCAGACCCTACTCTCACGCTGCCTCCGCAAGAACGTCCCAAGCGTGATTGCGCCTCCTTGTCGTAGGCGGGCGCGGGGCCTAAGTCTTCAGTGTTCAGATTCTTCTACTTGGCGAGCTTGCGCTGCAGAGGAGAAGCGGGGGTCGGAGTTCAGGAATTGGGGTTCCGGGTTTAGGGTTTAGGGTTTAGGGTTGAGGTTCCGGGTTTAGGGGATTGGTTGTCGAAACATTTGAATAGTTAGCACTTCTTGAAAGTAAACTGCCCAATCCCAGAGCAACCAAACCGGGAAGCTGACACGCCTTTCAGCATCAGAGCATGTAGCATCAACCTGAACCCTGAAGCTCCCTATGTATGCCGGAAATGCCATAACCGCCAGCAAATTGCAGACTAAATACCGAATTCCTCAGCTACCTACACCCCTAAACCCCCCCCAAAAAAACCCAAGCCCCCACAGGGCGAAACAACCTGAGGATCCGTCTCGTCTTGGCGGACCTCCCTCTGCAAAGGCGCCAGAAGACCTCTGCCGCCCAGCCCAGGGAGAGCCTTTGCCCAGAGCGCAAAACCCCTGAAGCTCCCTTTGGGGATTACCTTAGAGGATTCTAAATATATACCACAAAAAGGAACTACTTAAGGAATATACCTTAAACTCATACTTTCGTTAGGGCCCCTAAAATTTCATATATAATGTACGTATGGAATATACCATTAAAGCACAGTTGAATTAGGATCCCCTATGAGTGAAGGTATATTCCTTCATGGAGGAGTATCGGGCGTTCTGGGTGCTCACTTCCGGACTCGGGGACTGCGGCTTCGAGCTGTGGACAATTAAAGGATTTGGGTGCTTCGCATGATTTGGGACTTTCCGGGAATTGGGGTGGCTTATTTTGGGGTCCTTATAATAAGGATCCTACTATTTAGGGTACGATATTAGGGTCCATTCTCGTCTTGTTGGAAATTGATGTGGAGGCTGATTGACTACTGGCCATCGTGATGCTGGAGAGGATTCTGCTGGACAGACATAGGACCAGACTGCTGGCACAAAGAAAGGTTAGCGCTTAATAGTGCTTACAGTAGAGACACACGTGCTGAAAAAGGCCAGGGCGCCAATAGAGTAGCCAGGCTCGAAAGAAGTTTACGTGATACCAGCAGTAGTCGTGGGCCTCATAGACCACACCTTGGAAGGACTTGCATGCATGCCGGCACCCTAAACCCTAAAACCTAAACCACAAGAGCCGGCCCTACGATGCTCGGCACAATTTCCTCTGCCAGGCCGCGGCCACGCAGCAGCGGCTCGCGGTGCAGCGGTCTCTGGCGAACTCCGCGCAGGTCCGTGGAGAAGTCAAGGCCCTGAGAGACTTGACTAGAATATCAGTCGTCTCCTATGCGTATCCTGCTGTGGGCATTGCTCTCGTTGTTGATGATTCTGGCGAATGCAGTGCTTTTGCTTTTACTCTTGCTGGGCTTCAATAAACTTCACGAAGCACACAGGCTCTGCAACTTGACACAGATATCCCACCACACCCCTGCCTCGACCACAATCAAAGCATCCGACTTCTCCTGGGCACAGGCAGCCCCTATGCGCAGCAGACAGAGGAATCCCAACCCTGAGCAACTTTGAAGCGAGAGGCAGCGTGACTGGCTGAAAAACCCATGACGGCGCACTCACGTAGCAGCACTGCGGAGGGAGTTTCTTTTTTCTGATTCTTCTCTTGCAGGCTGTCAAACTATGCTAACCCATCCCGATTGTTCCCAAAGTCCTGTAGAACGGCTGCACCTGCGCGAAGAGCCGCCTCGCCCCAGTCGCCTTTGCCGCCGCCCGAAAGGCCCCACTGCGGCCAGAATCGGTAGCCTCGCCAACGAGTCACCATTGGATCTGCTTCAACGATCGGACATCCACGTTGGCTTTGAAATACAAGCTACAGTAGATCATGTGCAGTGCTGCCGCCCCCGGCCCCCCCTCCACCCTGGTATCCACGCCTATGTCCCCTGTGGTGTGGGTTCCCCCCTGCCCCCTGTGGTTGTGTTTGGCTGTGCACCCTTCCATGACTGTTGCGGGTTGGGCGTCCGCTTGGGGTTTGGGCCTTGGGACTTTGGAAACGATACAGTTCCACTGAACCCGCCCTGAACTCCAATGCCAATGATAGCGAAGATGATTATGACGATGATAACGAAGATGGTGATCATGATCACCATCGGCACTCTCCTCTGGTCCCTTGTTACTGAAAGTCATTCAAACGCATGCTCAGGCTTACATTTACCGAACCCAAGCGAAACTTCGCATAGAATGACAACGGTCGATACAAGCTACGACGAAAGAACATCAAGCAAGGCAAGCTTTTTCAAGTAAGTAAAACACAGAACATGCGGTACCTAAGACCAGAACAGCATAAGAGCAACGTTGCACCACCAACAGTCACACTCGGAATGCCAGCATGCAAGAAGCGCATCAGCGTCATTATCCACAGTTGTCGACAGCATCATCGCCATCATTCCCTCCCCCAGTGGGAAGATTGCGCGAGAGTTCCAAAAAAAGCTCACAGTTACGGGGAGGATGATGCAGACGACCACCATCCCTGTGGCTGCTCGGATGAGAGGCCTGGCTTGGCCCTGCGCGGGAGGCGGGGGGGCACTGATGTCTGATGTGGCGACACAGGACCATACATGGATAGACAGATAGATGATATGGATAGGGGGAAGATAGGGGGAAGGGGGGAAGATAGGGGGAAGATGGAGTGATGGTTGGAGAGAGAGGCATATGGACACGTAGATGGATTCATGGATATGTTAACTGAAGCGTCAGGTGGATGGATAGATAGATGGATAGATAGATAGATAGACAGATAGAGATACATTCAGATTTAGAATTAGATTGATATTTGTATCCATTTCACTGTTCGCATCTTTCACTATTTCAATACATACATGTATACATAGCTGCAGAATACCTTATACACCATACTTTGCCGATAAACATACCTAAATATGTATGCACAGATGCACGTACATACATCATACGTAGATGCAGACACAGATGCACATGCATGCATGCACGCATCCATCTGCCCATACATCCACTACATCCGCTACAATCCACTACATCCATTACATCAATTACATCCATGCACACACGAGTGATCTATGTGTGCACATACCCTGCCTTGTGGGGAAAGGCCCAGGCTCCAAGCCACGGGTGCAGGAATTCCACGCAGCTCGTTGCGCAGGTCGAAGCCCACGACGTAAGGCTCCTCTCTGTAGCGCCTTTCCAGTTGAAGGCTGGGGGTTCAGGATTCAAGGCGCAGGCCTGGGTCCCCCGTTTAGAGGGTTTTGGAGTGATCATGATCGGTCGGATGATCTCGAAGAACATGTTAGAACGATTATGATGATGCTGGTGATGTTGTTGATGATGACGATGATGGTGCTGCTGATGTGATGGCGAAAGCGATAGTGAAAGCGATTGCGACGGCGGTGGTCGGGTCGGTCATCGTAACGACGATGCGAGAAGCCAGGGCGATGACGATGGCGATGACGAAGAGGACAGCCATCATTATACTGTTCGGAACTTCAGATTCGGGACAGTATCGATGGACTCCGGCACAGTGCTCTCTTGCAGTTGCCTCGCCAGCAGACGAAGTGACTGCAGCCAATCTTCCTCCGAGTACTCCTTGCTTGAGACATCATTGCTCTGTGCTTAGTTGCAACTTCAACCATGAACATCCAGCCGCAGCTCAGTAGTGAGAAGCCATCTGACTGTCCTGGCTGTACCACAGTCCTTCCCCGTCATCCTCGCTGCAACACCACATGGCTTTCCCCTGCCAGGCTTTGTGCAAAAACACGTCTGTCCACCAAATCCTCGCAGTTGTGGAAGTTACATCACCTACTGAATCGCAATGATACAAACTCAAAGAAAAGGCACACAAGCATGGAGGAGCCTGGTGGTTGTTCAGCACCACCATGATGCGGGCATCCACCAACGCTTTCACCGTGGCATCGAAGATCGCAAGCGCACTCATGTTCCTGAATTCAATATGAAATAATGGTGATGCTGCTACTGGTGGTGGTGGTAATGGTAATGGTGATGGTGATGGCGATGGCGATGGCGATGGAGATGGCATAGTTGTGATGTTGATGGTGGTGATCAACATGGCGGCGACAATGAAGATGACGATGATGATGATGTTGATGATGATGATGATGATGACGGTGATGATGGCGATGATGATGCTTATGTTGACGATGATGATGACGATGATGATGATGATGATTATGACGATGGTGTTGGCAGTGACGATGATGATCGGGATGAGGATAGGAAATGGTATTGCAGTGACGACGATGATCGTGATGAGGATAGAAATCACCGTGCCCAACAGAATGCATGTCCATGGCACAGTATCAACATGACATAACATAACGAAACATGACAGACAAAACAGCACAGATTACGACACAACACAAGACAACTTGCTTGTTGTAAGGAAATATGCGATAAAATACAGTTTTACATAATATGGTATAGTACAGTCGAGTGTGGGGTAACATCATTTACTCCAACATGACATGACAGAATACCATGTACTGTATGTAATGCCATCCAATGCAACATATCACAATGCAATGCAACGAAGTACAACATGAAAATGCGGTATGCTGCAATAAACCACAATCTAACCTCATTTACTTTCATCCGTCTAACGAGATGTAACAGTACCTGCAAAAAAGCAAAATCTCTCTTCACCACCAACAACCCGATTTTTACATCAGAGCAAAGGGCACTTCTTGTATGGTAAGGGTTTAACTTCACGGAAAAAGAGATGAAACCATAAACCCTAAACCCTATAAACCCTAAACCCTAAACCCCAAACCCCAAACACTAAACCCTAAGCCCTAAACCCCAAAGCCCTAAACCCTAAACCCTTTCCGGGTCGCTGCAGCTCCGGATTTGCGAGGATTGCCGCCTCGCGCGGCCTGGTTTTGCAGTCTTCGGCTCCAAACTTAGGGCTTTAGGGCTGTAGGGCTCTAGGGCTTTAGGGCTTTAGGGTTTAGGGCTTTAGGGTTTAGGGTTTAGGTTTTAGGGCTTTAGGGTTTAGGGTTTTAGGGTTTAGGGCTTTAGGGTTTCGGGTTGCTTCGGGCTTTAGCGTTTTGGGGCCTAAGGGTTTGAGGCGGAATCTTAGTGTACCAGGGCGGTGGGATAAATTTCGTCGGGAGTGGGGGCTTTGGAAGCTTCGCTTCATATTAAGATCGTTTTCGGAAGCCAGGCGGAACTCTCATCTGGGAAAGGTTGCTCTCTGAGGAGAGTGCCGTGCTTGGTCAGGTTGGGCACTTAAATCCAATCCCTGTCAAGGATTCAAAGTGGCAAGCCTGGCATCTGGACGCCGGAGATGCATCTCTAGCGAGTAGGGCAGCCGCACGCAGTTGAAGCCGAGCGCCTCACTTTGCGCGCAAACCCTCTGTGTTGAACTACTTCGCGGCTAAGGCCATTGCATGGATCGAGCGAACCAGAGAAGAAAGCGGCTGCTTGTGCAATCCACCTGCAGATGTGGACGTGTGCTGCTGCGAAATTTCCGGCTTCAATCTCCCGGCCTACCACCAGTTCATGCATGTGTGCGCCATACCTCAAGTTCGGCAAAAATCTGGCGAAGTGCAGCTCGCGACAATCTGCAGGGCGATACAGGCTGATGCCTTGGCCCTGCCTTAGGCCTGGGCCAATTCACGCAGCGAAGTCGCACCCCGTATCCGAGCCGATCTATGATTCGCGACCCACGAGTGGCCAGTGGCAGCCTGGGCGGGTCCAGCCGAAAGTCCTGGCAGACTCTACTCCGATTTCAGGTGCGATGCCCATACCATGTCCCTACTGCGAAACTTTGCATCGTGTTGTCTGCTTATCTTTGCCTATATCAAAGTGTGCTGTATGCAAAGTGTGCTGTAGGATATTGTTCTGTCGTGCTGCAGCGGTAGTATGCTGGTGGTGTGTGTTGCTTTCGTACAGCTGCACATCTTACACTGCTGTATGTCACGTTGTGCTCTGTTCTATGGCCTGAAATATCCCATCTAGCCCAATGTATCGTATTACGTTCTGCTCCGCTATGGTAGCCTCGGCTGTCTTGCTTCATGGTGCAGTGTGTTATGATACATTGCATCCTGCTCTCTTGGTCGCGTGTGTTCTGCTTAACTGTAACCACGTCTGTTAATTGAGTTCTGGCATGCTGCGTGTTGCTTGGGTTTACGGTGTCTTCTGCTATGAAGAATGATGCCATGCTATGCTATGGTGTCTTATTAACACTATACCGTCTCAAGCTGTCGTGTCTTCAGTATTGGGGCGATTCTTGTGTGTTTTATGCGCTCTGATGTGCTGCAGAATGCTAAACCATGTTAGGTGGCCACCCATTTCCTAACACATGCTAAATACCTGTATGCTGTCATACATGACTTTCTGATCACGTGATAATCTCCGGGCTACCTGCTTACAGGTTTCTCTAGTCATACAAATGTGATGTGTAGATGTGTCTCGCATATTCTCGCGTATGTCTGGTGTACATATGTACATCTACACCGACCTATAGGAATGTTCGAGATTCATAGTTAATTGCTGTATGCATATTTAGGAACAGGTGTATCTTTTTCGTTCAACTGCAGAGCTAACGCGTTTTTGTCTCTGGTCGCCATGCGGCTCCAGTGCAAACTCAAACCAGGAAAGCAAGTCGGAAGACAGGTCCTGCTCCTTCACAGTCGCCAGAGCAGGACCTGGGCATCAGACAATCAAGCAGCACATGCTTCAGAGCTTAGAGTGCGGCAAACCCTAAACCCCTAAACCCTTAAACCTTAAAACCTGAACCTCTATGCTCGTAAACCCTCAACCCTGAAGCCTACACCAACTTAAACCGTAAACCCTGACGTGATCCCGAAACCTCTAAACCGCTAAACCCTAAACCCCAACCTGCACCCTGACCTAAACCATAAACCCCCCCTGACTAAACCCTAAAACCCTAAGCCCTAAACCTAAACCCTAAAACCTCAAGCCCTAAACCCTAAACCCTAAGCCTTAAACCCTAAGCCCTAAACCCTAAACCCGAAAACCCTTACCTAAAGCCTAAAGTCCACGGGCCTTCGGTTCTTTGCGCAGCGAGGGCCAAAACGTAGCCTCCGTATTGCCTCGGCGAGCTATCAGCCGTCATAGGGTGCTTAGGGTCTAGGGCTGCATAGCTTTAGGGGTTTAGGGTTTAAGGTTGTATTTTAGGGACAAGGGCTTAAGGTTTAGAGTCTAGGATTTTAGGCTTTAGGCTTTAGGTGTTGAACTCCACTATGTAGCTTTGGGTTTAGGGCAGCTTCCTGCTGGGTTCATGGAAGTACTAATTTACGGGCTTGAGGGAGCATCCGTTTGCCAGAGCATCCATGCTCAAATAATGAAACGTCCGTTCACCAGAGATCCGCATGCGATAGCATTCATGCCCAAACCATAATATCGTCCGCCTTGCAAGGCGCACTTTCGCCACGCAAGTTTGTCGGATTCTCAAACTGCAGCTGCTCAGCTCCGTATCGAAATCTTCTATTCCTTGAACCCTCGAATTCATCGTAGAAACCATAGTAATCCTGACCCTGGCTAGACGATAGACGTTTTAGGGTTCAGGGCCTTAGCGGCGAAACAGCAACGTGCCATCTTGGCATTTAGTACCGTGTAGGAAGCATGCCAGAACAGACCAGATGCTCTGTTTAACCTTCATCAATTCCAACGCCTGCCTAGCACAGCACCCTTGCTTCATGCGAGGTTTCCCTCAGAAACCAACAGTCAACTGCACCCAGCCAGTCTGGCGGAAAGTGTGGAGCTGTGGTGGGGCTTGTGGTGCATTCTTCAACTCACAGTAGACAACCAGCGCATCCGTTCTGAGACGCGAACCCATGCAACTTAGAGCCTACATGGTAAAATCCCTCGAGGCCCGCTGTCTAAAAGCTCTATACAAAACGGCCGCAGATGGACTTGGGGCTTCGGGCCAAAAAAACCCTTGAGCAGTAAGATGGAC